ATATGTATATATATATATAAATATATATATATATATATATATATATATATATATATATATATATATATATATACATGCATACATATATATATATATATATATATATATATATATATATATATATATATATATATATATATATATATATATATATATATATGTATATATATATATATATATATATATATATATATATATATATGTATATATATATATATGTGTGTGTGTGTGTGTGTGTGTGTGTGTGTGTGTGTGTGTGTGTGTGTGTACATGTATATATATATATATATATATATATATATATATATATATATATATATATATATATATATACATATATATATATATATATATATATATATATATATATATATATATATATATATATATCAGATAACGACACTTTTCACAATTGAAATCATACAGTGCATTTACATACATGGAGTTGCTTTAAAGTGAAATCTGTTTATCGAGGCCGATATAATACTGGAACCATTTTCCCTTCTATTCTTAATTTAATTAACATAATTTAAGTAAATAGGATTTGCTTTTGGTGAAAAACTACACTTCTTCCATTTTTGAAATCAGAATCGAACCAAAATACAGGACGAACAATGACCATGTCCTTATACCCATGCTGTTTGACATGGTCTGTGAAAATGTGCAAGGTATATGCATTTTCTTGTCACTCTAACCGTTAACGGAACCATTTTGCATTTTGTTTAGAAGCAAATCTGGCTCGTCGAATTTATGGTGCGGCGTTCCAATAAAGGTTGATAAATGTCATTCGGATGATTGGGTGAAAATTTCATATGACTTACTGTTCCTTCCCTCAAAAAAAAAAGAAGAAAGAAATCCGCATAGCACTATTCTGGTACCAATATCTCGTATATAGAATCGGCTTTCAATATTTAAATGGAACGCTCGGCCTTGGGCTGACCGCGTGACGTCATAGCCAGTGGGAAGGCTTGTTATGTCTTAATGTAGACGGCGTTCAATCAGTGAAACTCGTACAACGCAATAGAAAAATAATGATGAGAATGATAGCAATAGCTAATCAGTGATATTTGTTATTGCTGATTTATAATTTATTACAGACCCATTCACAAGGAAACTGTCAAATGATTTAGTGAAAGCTAGTTTTCATTTGCGTAAGAGATACTGGGAAATTTACATGGTGTAGTATAAAGCTACCGACTCGGTAACAGTAGTGTTATCCAGTACGAGATTTACACACTTCCCTCGCAAGTGCCGGGAATTAAGACGGCAATCCCAACTGCCACGTGAGGAACAGTGCGGCATGACATGAGACTTGAGGGAATCGATCACTTCTGTATATTTCAAATAATGAGATCTTACGTCTGATATGAAGTGCACAGATATGGGCCTACACACAGCTGCATTTCAGGAACAGGTATATCTTCCATGCATTAAAAATGAAGTTGAATTGTTCAGTTTCGGCTGTCAGTCCTGTCGCGGTGTCCAACGAATTGGGGTATTGCAACCTGGCAAGCCCGGTCCTGACACTAATCTAATATGACTAAGCATGGATATGATGCCGAGTATGAGTTCATTTGTGCAATGCAATTGTTGAAGTCTGGCTCTTACCTCAAGAGGCAGCTAAAGAGATTTGTAATATGTAACATTAGTGCGGCAAATGCAAATGTATGATAATGAATAATTTGACGAAGCAAGAGGTGTAAATGAGGTATTTCGATGTTGATTTTTTAAAGAATTGCGTAATGACCATGTCGGAGAAAAGGCAGACGGGAACGAGCTGGTGTTATCGTCCGCAGACGTGGAATCCTTGTTAATAAACCAGCTGCCCGATTTCAACCTTAATGGTGTGTGTGTGTGTGTGTGTGTGTGTGTATGTGTGTGTGTGTGTGTGTGTGTTATCATAATTTTTATAAATATGTTTATTACTGCTGTCATTGGATTATTATCATTATTTATCATTATCATTATCCCTACAATAATGATGGTAGTAATGATAATGATAATAATGATGATAATATTAGTTATAATCTTTATCATTATCATTATCATAATACTAATAACAGTGTTGATTAGTATTTATCGTTATTATCACTTCCATTATTTTCATTAACGTGTTATTATCATTACTACATAATTATTATTCATTATCATCATCATTCATTTCATTATTGCTATCATTATCATTCTTCCTCTTCTTCTCATCATCATCATTATTATTTTTTTTAATTATTAGCGAAACACTTTGAAACTCCACACACAATAAACGAGGTTTCCCTTCCTGTCTCCCTCACTCCCACTCACTCCAAAATCTTCCTAAAATTAATTCCTTCCCTCCCTCTTTAAGCCTTACATCTGGCCCTTCCCACTTCCCTGCTCTTCCTCCTTACCTTCCCCAACTCCTTCGCTCCCTTATCTTCCTTCTCTCCCTCTTCCTTTCCCTCATACCTTCCTCCACCTCCTTCGCTCTCTTATCTTCCTCTCTCCCTCTCCCTTTCCCTTCTACTTTCCTTCACCTCCTTCGCTCCCGTATCCTCCTCTCTCCCTCCCCCTTTCCTACCTACCTTCCTCCACCTCTTTCGCTCCCCTATCCTCTTCTCTCTCTCTTCCTTTCCCTTCTACCTTCCTCCACCTCCTTCGCTCTCTTATCCTCCTCTCTCCTTCCCCCCTTCTTTCCTACCTTCCTCTTTAACCTCCCCCTCGGATTGTCCTGGAGATAATGTGCTCAAACTGACGGTCTAGCTACTAACTGACAGGACTTGAGATGCAGAAGCGTCAGAGAAGAGGTGGACGATAATTCCCGGACAAAGAGCCCAGCTATTAAAAAAAGAGATGATTAAGAGAATAGTCGAGAGAGAAACATTGAAATTGAAGACACGCGAAGAAGGGTATATATTTATCCGAGAAGCCGTGAAAAAAACGGACGCTCAGCTAGGCCCAATGAATGCATGAGACTTACTGACTCCTTCGCCGCATCATGAGTCCTCTCCAGTCTTTCCTGTTTTCTGTCATCCCCACCAGTTGCCAGGCTCTTCCACTCCCGAAGTGTTCAGCAATAACTAAGCCATAAGCCCTGTATATAAAGTTATTTCGTGAAAATGGTTTTCTTTTTATAGGTCCAAATCGGACGGATAATGGCTGCAAGTTATTTTTCCAGACATTTATGAAATATTTATCATTAATTACATGATCGGTGCTAACAGCCTTGTCATTCTTCATTATCTCAACAGCATTAAATATTTCTACAAATTCCCTGTAGGCTTTCTTGCCATTGTTGCCTCCTCGCATTCACCGCGAGACCACATGTTTCTCCTTACAAGGCCAATGTATCATGTGGAGTTTACAAG